GATGCCCTAAGTGGAGCCAGGTGATTTTCAACTCTGGACTTAAGGTCGGGTTTCCATCAAGTGAAAATGGCTGAAGCAGATAAATCTAAGACTGCATTTAGTTATGGCCAAGGTCTCTGGCAATACCGTGTGACGCCATTCTGGCTTAGCAATGCTCCAGCAACATTTGAGAGGCTGGTGGAAAGGGTACTGGAAGGCCTACAATGGAGAATAGCCCTAGTGTACCTGGATGATGTCATTGTATTTGCAACAACGTTTGATGAGGAAATGTCCCGGCTAGAGGAAATATTCAAGCGTTTGAAAGCAGCAAACCTCAAACTCCATCCCAAGAAATGCCACTTGTTCCAGAAAGAGGTGCTTTACTTAGGTCACATTGTAAATGAGCATGGTATGCAAACTGATCCTGACAAGATGACAGCAGTGTGTGATTGGCCAACACCAGACAATGTGGGTTAGTTAAGAAGTTTCTTGGGACTCTGTACCTATTACCGGAAGTTTGTGAAGTACTTTGCAACCATAGCTGCTCCACTACATGATATGACCAAAAAAGGCCAAAAGTTTGAATGGAAAGTTTCTTGCCAGCATGATTTCAAGACATTGAAAGAAAAATTGGCCTCAGCTCCACTTTTAAAGCTTCCAGATCCCTCACTGCCGTACATACTGGATTGTGATGGTAGTAATGTCGGAATTGGAGGGGTTTTGTCTCAGAAAGTGGGCGAAAACGAACATGTTGTGGCCTACTTCAGTAGGGTTTTGAGTAGACCAGAGAGGAATTACTGTGTAACACGAAGGGATGTCTCCTAAGTTGTCATCTCCATGGGAAGGCCCATATGACATAGTGGATCGTCTCTCAGACGTGACTTTTCGGATAAAATGTGGTCGGCGAGGTAAGCCAAAGGTGGTGCATGCCAACAGGCTTTGGCATTATCACAGTCCAAGACATTTCAGTTAGAGCGAAGTTAACAATGGAACAAATGATGCTGCTGAACACGTGTCACCTGCAAAAGCCACTGTCGAAGAAGAAACTCTACCCGGTTTAGAGAAGGGAAATGGTGAAGCCGTTAATGAAGTTGCTACCTCTGGTGTGACTGTTACCCATAGTGGAACATTTCCTGATGGAGCAGATGAACCCCACGTGAAGCAGGAGCCAACGAGACGGAGACCACTATGAAAGAAGATACGTCCGTAAAATTAAGAGATTTTGTTGAATTTTAATTTTGTGTTTGTAAATTATGTACATTTAATTAAGTTATTTTTAAATTTAATTTTTTAATGTAAGTGGCTATTGTTCGGGAAGAACAATACTATGGAAGGGGCTGTGTTACGACAGCGAAAGTCACGTGACTCTGGTAACACGTAATGAGTATCTAGAACGTTCGTGAAGGCTCGAGTGCTTACCAGCCGCCCTCTATTTCGTATATATAGGACCGGCGAAAAGTGACGGCATATATAGAGATAATTTAATTGCAGACAGGCAGAGATAGAGACGGACAATTGAGTCAAGCGCGGTAGTAGTAAAGTGCGTGAATCGTTAGTTGTGAATTATAGCGTGTGTTTAAATGAAAATGACTGTGGAAATTAACTGTATTGTAATGTTGAATTGAGAAAGAATAAACTAGTTTTATTTAATAAAAGACTTGTATCGCTGAAGTTTCTAGAAAAGAAAAAATTAACAAACGCACACAGACGTAACAACACTTATGTATTTTCAGTTTTGCAGTTTTTACATTACTTCTCCCCATGTGGGTGGATTTTCACCAAATTTGGCATGGAGGTTTGTTGGGTCCAAGCAAAGATACATGCAAATTGTGGTTTCGCATTTTATGTGTTGCAGTTTTTATTGGCATTTTCTACAATTACATATAATTATAAGGAAAGCAACTTTTCATGTCCTAAGATAAACTTTCAGTAATCATGAATTTATGTAACTTCCGTCCAGGGGACGGGTACTCCATCTGGTATTCAGTATTTTATAATATTAACTCATTTTTATTTTAATTTAACTGATAAGACCTTTACCCTGATATTACATAATTATGATAATTTGTTTTTGTCATATTATCGATTACCAATGATAGTGTATTTTACGTTGTGCCGATCAAATATGTTAATATATCCATAATTTTATTTTTTACAGCTAGGTAGCACTGTTCGTAACTGTCACGAGATAGAATTCAGGTTAAAACCTACCCAGAATTGTCAATGTTGGTAGTGTTTTATGGAGTTATTAACGGATAGAAGTCGCCAAGATTTTATGTTACATGGTGATTTTCTATTAAGTCTGAGATTTTGAAAACCACATTTTTCAACGTTATTTATTGAAGAAAAATTACGAAATAATTATGAATAACAATATTCCTGGAGGTATGGTCCAGAGCAAGGGCAGTTCAAATATATTTAGTGAATCTAAATACTAAAATATAACTTTGTCTAGTTAGAACTAGAAGTTGAACTAGCTTTACCATCATAGTAGTAGTAGTAGTGATAATAGCTAATAGTAATACTACTAGCAATATCATACTTTATAGAGTATTTACTATAAATGGTGGTGTGTTACTATTGCTATCAATGTTCGTATTGGTAACATTTGTGACACTTGTAGTGTTACAGCATTGCTATTATTACTATTAGCGTAACGATCACGACCAGAGCCTCTTACTTTAATTTTAGAAAAATTCTTACTTATGCAACACACGCTGGATGGAAACAACTGGAGTAATAAATACTATAATTTTATTGTTTGTTGTTGACAGTGATGTTGGGAAAGGGAATCCATCATTTCCATGTCTTCCCAATGTAATGTTTTAGTTTTAAACGTAATTGAAACTAGTTTTTGAATGTTTTATGAAATTTTGTGTGATGGAATTTCCCCTTGAAATAATGCTTGTAGTAATAGTATAGGTAATTTCTGATGAACAGACTGGGACTTAGTATTTCAGATTGTATTTTAATTTTAGAAGAAATATTTATATAAAAGCAAAATTTATGACATTGATAGGCACTTTAAATTTTAATGCAGATTTTCATATTAATTGTAATATAAAAAATAATTTTAATGTATATTTTTAAAGTTTCTTTGTAACTATTGTAGTTTCAAAGATATCTGAAAAAAATGTTCTAATGCTAATAGATGAGGCACTTTCTTGCCCAGAAATTATAATAAATCAATTGTTTATAACTGTGACCATTTAGTTGAACACAAGATAATTAGCAAATAAGACACTACCATGCTAAATATGTTAGGAAAGCATTACTACTTGTTATAGAAATATATTTTTTTCACCACAGTAATTATAAGAATGTTTTCTGTAACAATGAAATTTTGGTGGCCATCTTGGATTAAAAATGACATCTATTAAACTGATAGAATTTATACAAAATATAATAACTTTATAAACATTTACATCAATATGTTTTGTAGACCAACATTTTTTAATACTAAACAGAGTATTACTTGTTAAACTTAAGTTTGTAACTACAAGATTAAATGACAGAACAAAATGATGAGTGATATCACATCTGAAAGTAATTTTCATCCATTCTTAAATGTTATCAAATGATGTATTTATAATAATAATGTTAATATTATCTTAATTTAGAGTATCATTAAAATATTGTAGTAATATCTACAAAATTTAATATCACAACATTATATCTTGCTGGTAAAATAAACAAGTTGTAATAAAACATAGCAGAATTATTTCATTATTTTCAAAGTATAATATACTTACTAGTTGATGAAATACCACAAAATATTTGAAAATAAACTATTAATAATAACTACAGTGTTAATAGACTACAGCTAAGTATGATCATGCCTGCACATAAATATATTGCAAAATGAAACATACAAGTTTGTGCATTTGGTATGTAAATTATCCATCATTTTAAGGGTTTAAATGCATTGTAAAGTTTGAGGGTTGGATGCACAAAATAATGTTACATTAACCAATAATATATCAGTAGAAAGTTTACCATTTCATTATTACAACAGTGGCAGGAAATAAACATCATCACAGTGATGTCTAGTGAAATACAAAATAGCTTTTCGTATGCTAATGGCCACAGCCAACACACAAAAGTGTGCAGGTTGCCAGTAGCAGTGCCTATACATTGAGAAGAAAGAAATAATGGATTTTTCTTTCTGTTTGAAAACAAACATTGAAAGCTTGTTTGTAATCTCAACATTTTTGTGCTTTGGTCTTGGCACTAGTGTAATTGTAAATGATTGATGCTGGGATGTTGTTAATGACCGGTAGAATCTACTAGTTATTTCATCAACTATTTGTCTAAAAAAATCAAAAATTGTGTGGAACGGATGAATGTTTACTATGAAATAAAGAATAACCATATTAGTGGAATTTGATAATCAGTCATGAAGCTCTTTAATTGATTACATTCAAGTAGTCAGTTATTCTCACATGAGACTTGGATAGTTAAAAGAATAGTACTAATTGTAAGCACTAATTTCAATTAGTTGATTATTTTTGTGAGTCATGATACAAATTAAGGTGATGAACCTTGAATGAATCAAAATGGATAAATTTTGTTTACTTTGATAATTGAAAACAGTACCAAACCCAAAGCACTGATGTGGATCAGTTGGTTATCTTCAATATGTTAAGGGATTTAATTATAATTTTGTGACATTAATCAATGGTTGCAGGTAATTAATTGATTGAGTTAATAGTCCAACTCCACTTAAAAGTGCAAAAAAGCCAAGACTGGGACACTAGCCAGGAGAGACCACCTCTCATACACATTGACATTGGTCTCTAATGCCTCAGTGTGAGCTACATACCTGCGGTGTACATGCAAGAGATACTAGGCAGCATTGTATGCAAGTTTTATGTTTAGCAGGTATGCCTACAACAAGTTTGAATTAACCCTATGCATACAAGCTCAGTCAATTTGACCAACCTTCCAAGTTCACGAAACTCTCAAGACTATACATACTATGACTCTAAATGTACTAAGAGTATTTTCACAAACTTGGCAAGCTTTTAGTAAACATTACAAGTCTGTTACATACAGTAAATAGATTTTGTTTAACAGAGTATTTTAACTAAATATTTGGCTGTGAATTTATGAACCTTTCACTAAGTCAGTCTGAGTCAAAGGTGATTTTCATGGTCAGAATTTAGATACTTTCATCTTATAGTTTTGCATTTCATTTCTGTAACCTCCTAAATTAATATCAAAAGTATTTTTCATGTGAAACTTTGTTTTATTTTTTCACTATAACATTAACTTTGCAAAATCATCAATATACAGTGAAATGAAAAGTTGAAAAATGCAAAATAAAAGTCAGTAATGCTTTCTTTCTTTTTTGTTGCAGATTGTGACAGACAGTTAGGTATTTAAATTAACATCTTCATATTCTTATCTATTCATCTGCTTTTTTAATTCCATGGTTTTATTACTGTTCTTTTCACACATGCTGTACGAAAAACAATAAATCTCAGCAGAATGTTTCTAGTACAGCTTTTGGTAAACAAGCAATCACGTTACAGTCACCTGTCACACTAACCATGAGAACTTTTCTACCTTCTACATCAAATTAAATTTTATTTGTTTTGTTACCTAATCCATTAAGTTTCTGATTTTTTAGATTTTAGTTGCATTAGTTATATAACGTGATAATATATATATATATATATATATATATATATGCGTGTGTATAAACACAAGAACACAAATATAGAACTTACTTTAATATTAAAGCTGTTTGCACTTGAATGTCTCAGTATGTTGGTTGTCCAAAAAATAATTCATGTAGTTTTAGATTGTACATTTTAAAACACATGAAATATATTAGGCTCTAGAATGTCTCAAAATGACTACTTTATTCAGCTTTGTATCTAAGCTTATAAAATATAAAAAAAAATCAATTTTTTCTCAAAGCAACAACTTTATTCAACACGTGCATTAATATTTCTTGCAAGCGACTGTCTATGATCACCCAAACTAAACAACAAACTTAAGATTTCTGCACATTACAGTATGGTCTTCCTTGATTATAAATGTGTCCAACAAATAAGTAGGAAAGTGTGAATAATTTGTATGAAATGCATGTAAAATGGGAGTGGCTTTACTGGTGGGTTTAACAGATTTATTGACATCTTGGCAAATCAAGAAATTATGAAATTCGAATCTTGCATTTTTCCTTATCAGAAAGTGTAGTTTCTATTCCTAATTGGGGCAGTATAGAAAGTATATTTTTAAAGTTATAAAATATAAAGGGGAGAATTCAACGGGCAGATGTGTCACAGAACAATGAAGGTTGAGAATTTGAAATTATGAAATTAAACTTAGATGGTATTAAGTTTATCAACTATGTTTTAATGTCAAATTTATTGGCATACATTGGTAATAAAGTTATGTAATTAAATTTTAAATATAACCCAATAAAAAAATTATAATCTGCTTTGACCCACCTATATGCACAAGGTTAAAGAACCCATTTAATATTTTTAGGGACCTTATTATGAGATGAACATTTTCTTCAGATTATTAAAATTGCAGCATTGTGGTATGTGCTATAATTCCAAGCTTTTATTGAATAGATTTATGAACTTTCAATATGGTAACTGTTTTTCATTGATGAATTTAGGTGTCTTAACACATGAATGATCCTCAACACTTTATCATGTAGGACTGTAAATATATGGCTTTCTTTTTGTATATTTATATAAACTCTCTTGCATCATATCTGAATGTCTGTGTTAAAACTTCTATACTTCTTTACCAAACATGAGCTGTCTTTGCCATCAGTACAGTCTTTCTTCATTATAATGTATTTTGACTTTATGCTACAAATTTCTTTTGCTATCAGTTTTAAGCCTTTGGTTTGTATCATGGTCATTGCTTTCCTTACATTATAGTTCTTTTTCCATTTTTAACAGATCTTATTTTGCATTACATCATGGTCCACCTTTAGCTTTACACCCTAGACATTGTGCTTTACATCTATTTTTGTCATGTAACATTATTAGTTTGCTGATCTCTATCCTCATTTTATTTTGTATTATAGTTTGTTTTTTTTTGTTATTTTAATTCAAGGTCATTTATATTACATCAGTCTTTGCCTTGCCCAAATCATTTTACATCACAGGCCATTGTTTTGCATATTAGTTGTACCTTTGCATTTTGTCATAGTGATCTTGCTGATGATATTAAAGTTCTGGGTGTAAGTTGTCTGTGATTAGGATATTGTTGTTTTATAAAGGGCAAATTGAGCAAATAAATAACAGATGACATTTAATTATGCTAAATGCAAGGTAATGCACATGAGCTACCTTAATTTAAAGAAAATAGGATTTGGGGTTGTAAGAATATTGGATATAAGTCAAAGGAGGTTATCATTTCTTTATAAAGACCTTAGAAAATTGTATTCAGTCTTGGTCTCTACTTTAAGAGAGATGTAATTATTGGAAAGGATTCAAGGAGTGTTATTTGGTGATTTCTGAGATAGAGGAGATATTACATTAGGACAGGTTAAGGGCCTTAAAATTTTCTCTTGAGAAAAAAAAGTTAGAATGAATCTGGTTGAAATGCCCAGAATAATAAAGGGAATAAATAAGATTAATTCATTATTCTTTTTTTTTTTTTTTTTTGTGGTTAATGGTAAGAGTGGTCTGGCTAAGGAATATAGACTTAAGGTTTGGCAGGATAGAAGCTGTTTGTATATTAGGTACTTTACTTTTTAAACATGGGAATTATCCTTTGTAATTGATTACCTTCAGACTTGGTAGGTGCAAGAGAATTGGGATAATTCAAGAGAGGTGTTGATGAGCTATTTTGGGTGTTATTGGTGGATATAAACAGATGGAATTTTTTTTGTTTTGTGCCAATTCAATTAATTTTTGATAATTTTCTATGTATGAGTGTGTGTATAATGTAAATTGAAAGAAGAAGATTTTAATCATGAAAGTGAAGTACTTTAGATTTATCATTTTATATATATTCATCACCATGTTATTGATTGTGTATTCTCATTCAGGTTCAGTGATAGGTTCTGCTGCACATTATTGAATAAATGCACTAAGTATTACACATTTTGTTACAGTTACTAGAAGTTTTTTTGTTTTTTTTTTCAGAATCATCATATGTGCCAACAGTTGTAGTGACAGGTAAGAAAAAATTTTAAATATAGTAATTTATAAAGAGATGGATTTTGATACTTTGGTATTACAGCTAAATATGATATTGTACAGCCTGACATACATGTTACAAACAACACAGTAAGTACTTGTTAAATACCCTTGCAGACTTCCCAGTAAGATTTTAAAAACCAAAAAGTGGTCCTTTTTTTTTGAAAAAGTAAATGCAAAGATTATAGCTTTTAATAAGGAGGGGATCTTGTATTTCTTTAGGAAGTTAACTGCCTTTAAAACCAGTTTTTTGGTCTGTTAATTGGTCTTGGTATGGGTTATGTGAGTTGTTTTTCTTAACTACTGTGCTGCAGGTGTTTTTTGTTGTTGTTTTTAGCTTTTTGTACCTAAATATTTAGGTTCCCATTCTAAATAATTCAGCTGTTAAAATCAGACACTTAACTCTTTTGTGAATCAACCATAAAATAGTTTATTTAGGGAAGAATTATATTTCCAGTTGTAAATACTTGTGTGTATATTTTGTTGAAGAGGATCCTTTTGGTTTCCATAACCTCATATAATTTGGTGCACTTAACCTAATATTAATCTTTTTAAAAGAATTATTTTTATTGTAGGCTTATAGCCACAATTTGAAGTATTGTAGCAAAAATTTTCTGAATTGTAAATTTCATTCTTAATTTCTGTTAATTACTTAACATGTTCACCTAACCTTGTCTATGTAAATTTTGTGAATGAAGTCCAGTCTGGCCTGTTACTTTCAACAGTGTCAACTTGCTTTATCGTGTAGGAAGAAATCATTTGTAAAGATATTAAGTTGTAGATTAAACAGCAACAACAAAGATTATTTATACCCACTCTAGCATATATAGTTTAAACACTTGACTAAATATATACTGAGACTTAAGTCAGGATCACATGTGCTTGCTATAGCACCGAAACAGATGTTAAACTTAGAATATGAAATACTAAAGATTTAAGTTGTAAATCTGTCTTTGAACATTTGTCAGTTGAACTTTCAAATTTGAAAAAAACATCTACATTCTGCTTGTATATGTATTGTCTCACATTGTGTACCACTAAATATTATTCAGAATTCTACTGATACTTACACTATCTTTCAAAGAATGATTGTTCACTTTATTTGGCAGCATTAGATCTACAGATATTGGTTTACCTTGATTGTTTTATGTTCATAGTCTCAAAGAGTATGGTGCCTATAGTGTTCAAAGACAATAAACATATACTTAATACGACGAAAGGAAGTACTCTGTCGTAATTAAAAGTAAACTTGATAAATCAGATAAACAGAGTCAAATTTAATGAAAATACAACATTTCACCAGGTTAACCTGCCATCATCAGGTACATCAACTACAATAAATGAATTGAAATTAGAAATATATATATTATAATACACGTAAGGGTACATTGAACTTTGATTGGGTAAATTTAACGGTAAGGTATGATATTTCCGGAGGGTGTTTATTGATAGGGCTTGACTTCTCGAGGGTCAATGTCTGTAATCAACAAAATAGGAGAATATAAGTACTCTTTCAGAAATGTAAAATTTGATAACAAAATTTATAAATTAAATACTGTAACTTGAAAATTGTAAATAGACTTAAAGTGATTCACAGAAAATAATATAAACATCAACATAGTTAAGTTAAAGTTAGAATAGATACAACTGTGTGTCAGAATACTTGTTTATTTTAGGCATAAACTGTTTTATAAGCAAAGCTTCCTTAATTGTATGATGGTGTATATTTTTTTCTCTGCTAAGAATTTTAAAATTATCAAGATGAAATGAATGAACATACTTTGACATATGTTCATGGACATGAAAAGGCAGTTTGTAATGTTCTTTAACTCGGGTGGGTACTTGCCTGTAGGTTCCCATTGAGGGGTCCCATTTAGTGATATTCTTGTATATTTTGTTGAAATATCTGCCCATTGTTAACCTTCAACTTCTCTATGTTAATAAATTATGCATTATTTTTTATTAATTGAAGAAGATATATATTTTGTTTTCCAGTTTAAAAAATTTGATTTTACTCTCCCACCTTCCACGACTTGTTGCACAAGTGTCAGATGAACATATAAAGCTGTTCTATCTTGCCGTAATTTAGATTTTTGTGTTGGCAGTCTTGCTGTTAACTTTTCTCACTGATATCAGAAGTTGGCATTTTCTGCTACATATGTTTCTTTTAATGTTAGAAATTGTACAACTTCTTGTGAGGTCTTACTTACACAGTCTGTCTCTGGTGTGCAAGGAGCTCAGATCCTGTGGCTGTATCACTGGCCTTTATTGATCATTGTATTCAGGCTGTTAATTCTAAGAGGCTGTTTGATTTCAGTTGGTTTTCATATTCATGTAGCCACACAGTTGCAGAATATCTACCTCTTTCTCTTGAAGATTTTAAAAGAATCCAGTCTTTTGCTAAAACCTATTTAACCATCATCTGAAATGCAGGATTTGTGAGCTAGACCTAATTCTGAAGAAGCTTCTGCAGGTTTGATTTCTTTTTTGTGTGTGTTTGTTCTCTTTCAAATTGTGCAATTTTCTGTTATTTCGCAGGGTGCTCAAGTCATACTAGACAATTCAGTTTCTGAATTTATATATTCCTAAATGATATCTCACCTCCTCACACAGAATAGCTATATCCCTTGTGCATCTGCCTAGGAAACTTGCATGCCACTAACCTTGAGCTAACTCCACCTTAGATTCATGTATTTAAATGAACTGTGTGCATGATGACATCATCATACAAAGCCAGCCCTCAACCAGTAGGAGGGCAGCACAACCTCTACATGCAGTAACTTCCTTTAAGCACTTGAAATAACTTCCTTCTTTTTCTTGGTATTACCTTGAACATGTGTGTTGATTTTTCAGTCTATGTTCAATTTACTGAGATGGGCATTCGTAAAAGGAACTTAAGTTTTGTTCTGCCTAAGCTTATATTTCAAAAGTATTAAATATTATAATGAATTTTCAAGTGACAGTGACTTCACAGACTGGGGGTAAGATTCCATTTCTGCATGGATGATTGACCTCTACTTGTTCCTTATTAGGAGGTTTTCTTCTCTCATACCTCCCCTCTTCTAAAGGAAGCTGCTTGGTTGGGATGGTGTGTCAAAGTTTTCTATTCCTTTCCCTCCCCTACACAATATTTAGTACATCTGGGCATTTTCTTCGACTGTGATCTCAGTTGGGCTCAACTTCACCTCTTCACCTAAAACTATGGAACGTATGGTCATCAAGGTTTGCATTTCTTATTTTTATTGTGTCTGAGAGTTTTTTTTTCACTTTTGATTGGGGACTTCAGTTTCCCTAGAACCACATATTTCCTTTGGGTGCTGCACACGCATACGTTTCTTCCAGTGGACCCTGCAAGACCAGTTGATTCTTTCTCAAGATTCATTGTCCTTATTTGTGAACCTCTCCCTTCTCTTTTTGAGGAATTTGCTTGGTGGTTAGATCATGCCAATACTATGATTGATGTTTCCTTACCACCAGCATCACCCAAATGGAACTCCATCTCATAGATGCTTCTCTTTCTTAGGCTGGGGCACATCTCTGATGTTTGGGCACAAGAGGATAGTTCATTCCACATGTTCACAACTTCTTGCTGTTCATTGGGAATTTTCTCATTTCTTACCTCTTCTATTGGACTGGTTGGTCATGACCCACTGACAATTTAACTGTCAATTCTTAAATCAACCTTATGCTCTTCTGGGCTCATTCCCATAGGGTTCATCTCATGGCTTGTCATGTACCAGAGGCTTTAAATCTGGTAACATCATCTCTTTTGGCTGGGTCATGTTCTGCCCATAAAGTAGTCTCTCCAAGCCCAGGTTTTTCATGGGGTTTTTCTTGGTTGGACACATCCCTCATAAAAGCCTTTGTCATTCTTCTCTTCTGGTCCCTAGTTCCTCATTCTTTGATTTTCGCTGTCACTGCTGTCAGCTAGGAGTATACCTGTCCTCCTCTTTGACTCATCCCTTGGGTTCTTGTCTTGACACATGACACTCCTTGTCAGGTCCTTTTGATAGTGCCTCTTTGGTTTCCTCTACTTCTTCATTTGATGTTCAAACCCCTTCTTCCTCTACTCAGTATCCCCTCTCTATTGCTTCAACCTTGCACCTCCGTTTTTCATCCAGGGGTGTCATTCCTTCATCTTCATGTATGGGATTTGTTCAGTCCATCACCTTTAGGGTCAGATTCTCTGATTACATAACTTTTGTCTTATCCCATTCATGTCTTCCTTCCACTTTATCTGTATATCAGTGGAAATGGCAAATTTTTCATAATTTGTCCAGCTATCCTACTGTGACACACCTTTTTGCTTTTCCTGTTAGCATAGTGTGTTTTGTTTCCCTTGTCCTCTCCACTCTATTCAACTCCTTCCATCTTCATGGACCCACTTGCCTGACTGAGACCTTAATGTGATGTTGTATGTTCTGACACATGCCCCATTTCAGCCATTGGCTACTTGATCTTTATACCACCTTTCTCTTAAGACTTGCTTATTTTTGCCTGTGGTTGCCATTCAGATAGCTATGCTCATCATTCTTCTTTCACTCTCTTCCATTGCACCTAGTTTCTCTTCTCCCTGGACTGGTTCTTTCTTCCTAAGACATAGCTGCTTGGGAGGATGAACATTTATTCTCACCTATCTCTCTTCCTTCTGCCTCTCGCCTCTGTTTTTTTTCAGACCCGGATTGACTTCTGTCTTCAACTCAGCCTGTTTGGTGTTGGCATGAACTTTTCCCTTATAGGTCCTCATCATCATTTCCTTTTTCCTACCCTGAAATCCCTCTTCATCCAAGGACTTCTCACTTTCTACCCTCACCTGATAGGTCTGTCAACTCCTCTGGTTGGTGTATTTTTCTCTGGATGTTGATGCTTGCAGGCTCTTTCATATTTTGTTGCATCAGTTTCATCACCTGTCTCATTCTCTTGCTTCTTATTTTTGCTAGCCCTTGGATGAGATCCTCCAGACGGGCATGTGGACAACACCCTATATGTTTGTCACTCATTATCTTCATCATCTATCTGTTTTGTCTCCTGCAAAATTTTATCTCTCCCTGTCATCGTTCTTCAACTGACCGACTGTCTTTGAGATGAGTATGTTATATTTTGTCTCTCTCTGTCATCGTCCTTCAACTGAATGACTGTCTTTGAGATGAGTATGTTATATTTTGTCTCTCTCTTTCTGTTAATGTTGAGCCCTGGTCTTTGCATAGCATTCAAGGTATCAGAAATGAAAAGATCATTCTCCATATGATGTTTAATATCTCCAACCAAAACAGGATTCAACTCACAGCTTTGTTTTGTCTTTTCTTAACTTTATTTGGTGTTCCTGATACAGTGATCTAGAGTTCTTGACCCCCCTCCTGGATCTGTTTTAAATCTCATTGGTGACCAATGAATAGACTTGATCAGCCTTTTTGGATGATCTTGTAAGGAGCTAAGAAGCCTTAGTCCCAGAAGCATTTCCAATCATTAGTTATTACTGGTCTTCTCCTCTAAGAATCTTCTACTCTAGGTACAGGGAGATGCATTTCACTATAACCCAGCATACCTGTTGTGCAATCACCTGTCCCCATACCTGTGAATGTTCATGGTTTCATAGTTTCTTGCATATTGCCAGATCCCCACTCTTTTTATGTTACTTGGTATGCTTAGAGTGATGAGGTACCATGCTAAGAAATACCTTTTTTCTGAGTTTGCTCATTTGGTCTTGAGATATTCTTAGATTAACTGATTTCCTCAATGAATATTAGGTAGGTTTTCTTTATAATAGGAGATTTATGCAGGATAACTACAGAGTAAATCTGACGTTGACTAAACAACTAAATTTAAACTAAGAGAATAAACACACTGAACGAGTTATGTAAAGTTCAAAAACAGTTTTTATTTATATATAAAAGTGCAAACACAATGTGCATATTTATGTTAGGAGACTAGACTGTCACCTTCTTTTGAATTAGTGAATCTGTCAGCAGTTCTAGTCTCTCAAGATATCTTTCCATTAACTGACTCACATTGAAAATGAAATAGAACTATGTCACTCCAACTCTATTTACTTAACAGGAAATGTCTGATTTACTGTAATGACTAGCATTACCTACATAACTAGTCATTTTCATTCAACATAGTTAAGGTGTAACCTCTAGATATTATCTACTCAGCCAGTGGAGAGCATTAATGTATATGGAAAGTTACAACAATATCTTTGTGGGCAGACCAAATATTATGTACAAAATAATAACAAAGGAACAAAGGTAGCTAGAATGAAACCAACTCAACAGGTTTCTGGATCATATTTATGCAAAAAACTTCACTGAATCAGATTAAATGAAACATGAAAATCCCACTCCAGTTGATTCTTCCATGACATCACTCTATCAACTTTTACTATGCTTCTGAATTGTATTCAAGCTCTGATTCATCAAATCTTTTATTTGTTGTGGTCTAGGCTGTAACTTTCTTGCCTAGGAGCCCAGATTTGGGTAAACCCATGATCCTTACGATCTTTCTGCTTCTCCTTCATTTCATTGTGGATATTCTGTCTTTTTGTATTTCATAGCTAAGTCTACCTGGTTTGAAATTTTCATTTTTAGAATTATGATGAATTTCAAACAGGCACTTAATATGTGGTTCTCCATCATGACTGCTTTTAATTTATCTGATTGATGACAGAATAGCAGAACTTGCATACATTCTCTTGATGCCTGCTCAATAATGCTCCAATTACCTATTGTGTATTCTGATCATATATATTGTTTTTCGTGTTTAAAACATAGTTATTTTAAATATCAGACTTTAAAAGTAATTATTATCCATCATATAGTTTCTTAAAACACTAGATGGATACTAAAAGTTGCCTCCACTATAGACAGCCAAAAAGATTTGATTTCCATTGCAACAAATCAATAGATGAGAATGTTGAGCATATCTTGTATATCAGCAATGGTATTTGAAACTTGGTTGCTTTAGTCCATTTTACCCAGTGACAAGTTTGAAGTAGTAACTATTATCATACTGAAAAAATTTGAACTTCTAGATTTGGTTACATTTAATTCTTTAACTACAGATCCTCAGAACATTTGAGCTCGTGCTGATTTTGCTTTTTTTGTATGAGCAACTGTGCCCAAAGCATGTTTAGCATGTCACAAGTAAAAAATAAAATGTAGCTAAGATAAAAATACTTATGATTGTTTTTATGAAGTGACATTTTATAAAATGTAAGGTAAAGTTAATTCATACGCACTGTGAATATTTCTAGATTGTTTAGAAGTAGAACTACTAACAAGGAAAAATGTATATATTCTTGGTTTATAATATTTGATGTAGTATATGCTCTAAAGTTTTCAAGTTACCCAGTCTAAAATTTTATATCCTTTGACATAAAATGGCATTAAGCATTTTTTGTAAAATCAATTTTAATTCTTTCTTTTAAATAAATTATTTTTTCAGAAATTACCAAAAACACTGTGGGATCTACGTTACACACAAGTGTGTATATGTATTTACTTAGTAGACTGGCAAAATCATTGCTTACTATTAACTGTATATTTACCAAGTTTTCATAGTTGAATGTTGTTATACATTTCCATTAAATTGACATGTAGTGCCACAAAACAATTAATTACTAATAGTAGAATAGGTTAGTTTGTTTCAAACAAAACTTAGTTGGGGCCAATAAGTAAATTTGTATACTAAACAGATTACGAATATTTCTCTCTCCCTCTTTGTTTTCACCTTTGTTTTTTATAAAAATCTTTTATGTAATTGTTTTGTGTTTCTATATTAAAGCTATAAATATTCTTTATTTTAGCTTTTATGTAAACATCACCATTTAAAGGTATCATAATTAGGATTAAAATGATCATTGAGTTCAAGGTGAAACTTGAGTACAAAAAACATTCTCCCTGACCCTTGTGATTTTAGCTGTAAATAATAAAACTAGTACCAAAATCACATAAAGGTGTAATATGTACACAAATAGTTTTATATGCAAGGGCATATTTAGTTTTAGAAAAAAATTTTGAATTTTCTGACTTCATAAAGTTTTAAACACTTTTAAGTGTGTACCATTTATATCAAATGTCCAGAAATGTCCAAGAAATAATCCAAAATGAATAAATTAAAGAGGAATAGGAAAAAATCACATCTGCAGTTCACATGATTTTTATCACAAATATTAGGCTTACTGATTTCTAATCTCTTGCTAGTTTTTGGCATTTAAACTGTAAATTTTAAAGTATTATACTGCACATATAAATAGCATATCAAAGAGTCTTTTCTCTTTTATTATTCATCCCAACTGTCAAGTTCTAGTATTGAACAATAGGTCTCTTTGGCGGTGACGTTTTTGGAGACAAAATATAGATCTGAAGTGATATTTTGACATGCCTCTCATTTTGAATCCAAAATTGACAAATTCGGGTAAATGTAGGAAGAAAAATATTTGCAGTTTACAGGATTTTTATCTCAAATTGAAGGCCTATTTTTTTTTCTAATATGCTTCTCTAGCTTTTGGCATATTCAATATTAACTTTAGTTTTAATGAAATAAACTAATTATAGTATGGTAACATGATTATATTAACTAAGGAGCCTTAGAATGGTTTATGTACTTTTATTCTCTGTTAAGTTACTAATTATATTTATATTTGCTTGGATTGGCGTTAAGTCTAAACAGAGGAACAAATTTATTGTAATCAGTCATTGCATTAGCACTATTTTATCATCATCCTCACACATACACCACAATTAGACATGGCATCTTAATCTTAGTTTTTGGTATACGTAATCAATAGGTCAGTTGTTCCACACTTCTGAATGGTATTAATCTCATGACCACAAAGTTCTGTTTCTGGTTAATATCAGTGATAGTTATTTTTTATCTACACAAACTAAATCATTGCTCTAGTCTTGCTCTTGTGTGGTATGTTGCATCATTTGTAATGGTGGCGATACAGTGTATATTTTCCCATATATTTCTATTTAGGTTTTGGACCCTTTCGTTTTTATGATGTCAACCCAAGCTGGCGTGCTGTGGAAGAACTAGGGAGGATTGGAATTGAGGGGGTAAATCTAATTGTTAAGGAGATTCCTGTTGCATACAGTGATGTTCAAGAAAGAGTTCCTCAGCTTTGGCAGCAGTACCAGCCCAAGGTAATTTACAGTGATTGTTTTTTTCATTTGACTTGTGTGAATTTATAAGAAGTTGAAATCTTGTGTCATTAGTACAAAACTTGTGTGTATTAAGACTGATTTATAACTTCCTTCAAGAAAACTTGTTCTTAATTATCAAATTAATTCTTGCTATATTTTAAAGCTGATCAAACAATTTCACCACATTTGAAAGTTTTGAATACTGTGTTTAATATACATCAGGGAACTCAGTATGGTTCAGTGAGTGGTGGATGTAGATGCAGTACACAGTCTTACATTGCATAGGTGCACAAACAAACAGCTTATGAGATTGGGGGGGGGGGGGATTGGAAATTGACTTGGTGGGATATGGAGTAGAACTCCCTTGAAGCCAGAACTTTCTAGCATATTCTAAATATAAACTTGTAAGAATTAGAACATATGACAGAACATAAATATAAGCCAAGTTACAGAACTTAATAGTTGATTTCTGATTCTGTGGGATAGTGAGTTTTTAGTATAATTTCAGTTGTCATTTCATGGCATGGTACCTTTATCCCTAGATGCAAGAGGTTGGCATTCTGAGTCCATATAGCAGTATTGACTTTAACTGATAAATACTATAATTCTGAATTTACTTAGTGGGCTTTCACAAAATTTGGTAAGCTATTAGTAAACATTACAAATATGTCATAAATAAAATGAAAAAATTTTTTGTCTCTGAATTTACTTCAGTCAATATGACTGACTAATCTGAGTGGAAGGTGATTTTCATGTTAACAATAAAAATACGTTTTTTATTTTATATGTTTCCAATTTAATTTGCATAACATCTAGAACCTCCTAATTAATATCAACATTTTTTCCAGTAAAACTATATTTGATATGTTATTTTCTCTACCCTAACACTATACAGGTTCAGTCCATTTGACTGATCTTTT